CAAGGGCAGAAAACAGTCACATTCTTCACCAAAATATCACAAGAACTATCTCTAAGCCACATATTAAAATTCTTCTCTGAAATCTCTTGAGATAGGTTCAGATCACCCTCAGCACCACTGTCTTCCATGTTCCTATGAGTATGGCCTATTATGCCACACTTAAAGCATTCCACTGCTTCCCTAACCCAAAGTCCCAAAGTCCACATTCCTCCAAACAAACACATGGTATGGCATATCACAGCAATACCCAAGTCCTTCATACCAACTTCTGTCTTAGTTAGGATTTTTATTGCTGTGAAGAGACAGCATGACCATGACAACTCTTATAAAGGAAAGCATTTCATTGTGGCTGGCTTACAGTTCACAAATTGAGTCCATTATCACCATGGTGGGACACGGCAGCATGCAGGCAGACATGGTGCTGGAGAGGTAACTGAGAGTTCTACATCTGAATCTGCAGGCAGCAGGAAGACAGAGTGAGCCCCTAGGCCTGGCTGGAGCTTCCAAAATCTCAAAGCCTACCCCACAATGACACACTTCCTCCAACAAAGCCACACCTACCCCAATAAGGCCACATCTCCTAATAATGCCACCCTCTATGGGCCTATGGGGGCCGTTTTCATTCAAACCACCACACATGATAAACGTCTTAATAAACGTCAGCCTCCATGGGCAAAGTACCTACTTCCTCTTTTCCTATTGAGGTCCTGTCTGTGGCCACACTGTTGGGCTCTAGTATGGCAAAGGTAGCTGAGATACTCTTAGAAGCCATGGCCCATAATGTTTTTTGCCCACATCTAAGGCATAATTTCTCAGTGTTTCCAAAACTCTGTCTTAGTGACTTTTCTGGCTGAGATAAAACACCCTGACAGAAGCAACTTAAGTCAGGGTTTATTCAGTTCACAGCTCCAGGGTAGTCCGTCATGGTGAGCAAGCACTGATAGCAGGAGCTTGAGGCAGCTATGTAGTCAGGAAGCAGAGGACAATGATATCTGTCTGTCTGTCTGTCTCTATCTATCTATCTACCTATCATCTGTCTGTCTCTATTAATCATGTATCAAATACCAGGTTGCACACCCCCTAGGAGTTCCCTGACCACCGCACTCTCCCTCACTCTGGGAACTCTGTGACCCCCAATGTCTCAAGGTTGTAGCAGGCTTTCTTGGACTGCCAGCCCCCAAATCATGACACAGAGACTTATTATTAGTTATGAATGCTTGGCCTTATCTTATGCTTGTCCCATAAGCTCTTATAACTTAATCTAACCTGTTTCTCTTCATCTACGTTTTGCCTGAGGGCTTTTTACCTTTCTTTCATTCTGTATGTCCTACTTTGTGTCTGGCTGGTTGGTGGCTGCCTGGCTGGCTGGTCCTGGGTATCTCCCTCTCTCTCATTCTCTTTTCTCATTGAGCCTAAATTCCTCCTCCTATATATTCTCTCTGTCTGCCAGCCCTGCCTATCCCTCTACTGCCTAGCTATTGGCTGCTCAGCATTTTATTAGACCAATCAGGTGCTTTAGGCAGGCAAGGTAAAACAGCAACACATCTTTACACAATTAAACAAATGCAGCATAAGCAAATGTAACACATCTTTGCCTGGTTAAACAAATGAAACATAAACAAATCAACACACCTTACATAGTTAAATATTCTACAACATAAACAAATGTAACACATCTTTACATGGTTAAAATAATATTCCACAACACAAATTCTGATATCTGGGCACCTTGGTAGGACTTCCAGAAATGTTGTGGGGTATCCACCAAAGAATACTGCTCAAACCTAAATTTAAGCCAACAGAAAGTCTTTATTAGCCATCCGGTGACTACACTGGGTGTTTGGGATCCCAGTGTAGCACTGAGCCTTTCTCAAGGTGAGCCTTTAAGCACAAAAACTGTATCTTGGGTTGACATACTTCAGTTAACAAGAACAGTTAGTCAGAAGCAGAACTACAGAAGCCAAAAGGCAGGATTAACACATTTAAAGATTTTCCCAGAACTATGGACTTTGATGGATTAGGTCTTTGTTTTCATTTTGGCAGGTGGTACTGTCTATGTGCTAAGTTTTATGGCCTGAATGGTACCTCCATCATGGAGTCTGTTATGCAAGGGTCTGGGGACCTGTTACAATGCTGAGACTTTAAACTTTTCCCAAGACTGCAAGAACTGTAACATTATTGCCCTGACTGTGAGTGGAAGCCAGCCTTCTTATTTTTAAACAACACTTACTGAATTTCTGCATCAATACAAATAGGAAAATCACATGTGAAAGTTCTTTGACACTGGGGACTTGTGAAACAGCTTAGCTGGTGAAGTGCTTGACTTGCAAGCATAGGACCCAAGTTTGATCCCCAGAATCCATATAAAAATCTCGGTGTGGTTGCCTGTGCTTGAAATCCCAGTGTTAGGAAGGCAGAATCAGGAGGATCCCAGGGGCTCTCTGGTCAGACAGCCTGGCCAAACGGGTGAGCTCCAGGCTCAGAGCAAGATCCTGTCTCAAAAAGCAAAGTGGACAGCTCCTGAAGAAGGATCTCCAGCCTCTATGTGCATCTGCACCCAGGCTCTTGTATGCACACACACACACACACACACTTTTTTGGCACCAGATGTGGTAGCGTCCAACTGTAGTCCCAGCACTTAGGAAGCTGAGGCAGAAGGATCACTAATTCAAGGTCAGCCTGGGTTGCACAGCAAGACCTTGTCTCAAAGTACCAGATAACACACACAAACACACAGAATAAAAAAACTTTCTTTGATAATTTTTAGGGGGGCGTGCAAAGAGGTTCTGTGACTCAGGTGTTTGAGAACGGCTCAGGGCAGGTGTATCTCTGTTGTCACATACCTTTCTATTTAATGTATCTTATATGATAATTCTCTAAGTCATAGAAACCAGAGCAGCGGGTGTTTTCCTGTGTTCAAGGTAGCTACTAAGTTCTCTGATGATCCGATTGTGGTGTGGGGTTTTAACGTGTCTTCTAAACAACCGTGTTGGACTTTCACTGACTCAAGCCACTGATCAGCCAGCCCTGCTGCAAACCTGGACTTTTGCTGCCCTCAGCCTGCCGCACTCACGCCTTTGTTTGTGTTTTACACATTAAACTATGCCCTCTCCCCTTGCTCTCTCACCTCCTTCTCTTCTCTCCCTTTCTCTTTCTCTTTTTTCTTTTCCTTCTTGTTTTTCTGGTTTTTTCAAAAGCCCTGCCTTCCTTTTGTATCAGCATAATGATGCGTTAAAACAACTCTTTCTTGTTCCCTATAATTTCACTTTTAAAATATTTTTAAATATATTATCTTATTTTCTACCTCCAACTCAATGATTTCACTGTTAATCATATAAGGCTAAGAAATCGGCCTTATTTTCTCCTGTAGGGAAGAAAAAGGAGGCCTGTGCGTCATGAGTCTTGGTAGCATAAAGCTTCTTTTCCTGAAGGCACTCAGATGCCTGGCTCCTGAACACCGCTCCCACTTACATTTCAGCCTTTCTATTTTTGTCTGCTGCGCCCTTGGCTCCAGCTCTGTGCTGTTCTCAAACCATTATTGTCTTCTGGAAGCAACCCTCACAGCTGTGGCTTTTGTTGACAAATTGTTTCATCTCCTCTGGGCCTTAAATTATTTTCTCTGAAGTGAAAAGTCACTAGATATTTCCAGAGACTGTTTTAGGGTCATAATTTGGTTTCTCCAAACTCTGAGTGGTTCCAGTCTCTCCCACCCTCGACCCCCACCTCTCCTACACCCTAGACCTATTGTAACTTTTGGAGTTCAGGACTTGCTCTGTACTGGGGTGACTTTCATAATATGGATGACTGGTTTTATGTTGAAAAACTTAACAATGACAAGTCTTAAATAAAATCTTGCTACAGATATGCAAAGGTGGTTATTTCTGTCTCGTCATGACAATCCATTCTTATTTGCTGGAGTCTCCCCTCTTGGTCCTTCTTTTGGATCATTTTTACCTGGGACCTGGATGTTCTATGCTAGTTTTGCCTCAAATACACTGGGTTCCTCAGGACCTTATGGTAACAGTCCTGAAATCCCAGCTGTTTAGGCACTGAGGCAGGAGGATCACAAGTCTGAGGCTACAGAGCAAGTTCAAGGCCAACCTGGGCAACTTACTGAAACCCAGTCTCAGAGTAGTGGTTAAAAAGAAGGCTGAGAGCCAGGCGGTGGTGGTGCAGACCTTTAAACCCAGCACTCGGGTAGTCTAGATCTTCTGGTCTGGCCTCCTTTTCCCAGCATCCTCTTGTGGTCCCTGCTCCTCCAGAGCATTTACATAACCCAGTTTAACAACCTGCTGCCTTTCTCCCTGATTTGGCACCCACTGTCCCTTCTTTATTCTCTGTTAAAGTAATAAGGATATGTTCCATTGCACTTGCCTGAGAGTCTTGAACTGAGCCTGGGTTTCCCGCCATCTGGGTCTGGCTGGGTTGCAACTTCTCTTTGATGTTGTAAGGCTTTTTCATTGAACTTGAGTGTGGCACTTACATGGCTTGTTTGCTTTATTTTTTTTTTCTAAGACAAACACATTTTTTTTCTTGAGCTTATTTTGCTGTTTTGTGCTGTTATTTTTAATTGCTTCCGTCGGGGGGTGGGGCTGAGGGTGAGATTTGGCTTTAGTTTGCCTCTGTTTGGTATTACTCACATTCCCCCCCTCCAAAGTCCCACATTCTTAGGAGCTCTTAGGTACATGCTCTCTCTCTCTCTCTCTCTCTCTCTCTCTCTCTCTCTCTCTCTCTCTCTCTCTCCCTTCTCTCTGACAAACCACTCTTGCAAGGCCACTGATGCCATGTGCAGAAGACGTCAGTAGGAGATGCTCAGGAACTCTGCCCTGCGCAGTCATGAGCCTGGCCATCTGGAAGTCGCCTCTTACTCAATGAAATGGAGTAAACATTGTCCATTATGAAATCCACCACACAGGCTGCCAGGGACGAATGGGATCCCACCCAAAGCCAATCGCTGCTCTGACAGGGAAGTTGGCTAGTGCTGCCTGAGACTACTCCAGCCTCCCCCGTCCCTGATGTCACAATTCAGAGGCTGCTGCCTGCCTGGGAAGTTGTAGAAAGCTCTGCAGATTTTCTCTGTGTGTCTACAGGGCTCCCTGAGCCAGGTCCCTGTCTGATGGCGTTTATGAAAAAATACCTCCTCCCCATTCTGGTGCTCTTCTTGGGCTACTACTATTCTACAAAAGAAGAGTTCAGACCAGGTGAGTACCAATGTGTCTCTTTCGGAGGAACAGGCTTAAAACACAGGGGGTTCTGGAATGTTCCTAAAGACCTAGCTATGTTCTTGGTCCCTACATCACTGAGAAAGAGTGAACCCTACTGTGGATCTGTAAGTCTGTATCCTCCAGCTACAAGTATTGGGAAGGAAGGGGCAGAGAGGGGCAAGCCACATAGCCAAGTAGGCCAAGCTTCACTTGGCACCCAGGATGGAAAGCAGTTTCAGATCCACAGAAGTGAAGGAATACCCAGATCTGCAGCTCAACCAGATAGCTCCATGGAAATACTGTGCTCCATGGAGATACTGATAGCTGAGAGGCAAAAATAAATAAATAAATAAATAAATAAATAAATAAATAAATAAATAAATAAATAAATAAAAAGGGCTATGAAGTTGATGACTAAGTAGAACAGTTGAAATCTCTCTGAACACATTTTGTGATGCTTTTAAAATTTCCTTTCAATATAGCAAAATGAGATCATGTCAAAAGTGTCGAACTCTGGCAGTTTAGCCAAACTCTGATCTTTCTGGCCTTGCCTCTACATTCTTGCACATGGAGGTTTTTAAGAATAATAGCAGGAAGGCTCGGCTCTGGACATCCAGGCCAAAGCCATCTTAAGAGCCGGTCTATGAACAACCCTGAGTGTTGCTTCAGTGATTTACAACATGAGGCAAACTGATCTGGACAGTGAAACAAGGCTTTGGGGTACTCACAGCCTTTGTGGTTCCCAGAAATGCTCCAAGGGAAGAAAGTGATTGTCACGGGGGCCAGCAAAGGGATCGGGAGAGAAATGGCATATCATCTGTCAACGATGGGAGCCCATGTGGTATTGACTGCGAGGTCTGAGGAAGGTCTCCAGAAGGTGAGCATTCTGTCTGTCCCACAAATAAGTGTGCCTTCCTGTGCCCAGCTTATGGCCTCACACATATACACAAAGGCTTGCCCCCCTCCCCTATGGCCTGCATGCCCATATATAGGTACAAATATTCCCAGGAGTATAAAACTGCTGCTTTTAAGCATACACACACACACACACACACACACACACACACACACACACACACACTCACATGTGCACTATGTTAGCCACAGAGATCTTTGGTTGTATATGTTCATAGTCATACCTGTTCACACACACGGACCTGTATAGATGCACATATCTGGGAACTAGAATTCCTGTACCTGCTCATGCATTTATGTTGTCATGCTCCATAGACTCACAAACTCGAAAGTTCTAGGTCATACCAACACTCACAAACCCTAATCTATCCCATAGAAACCTGCAACCGCGCCCATAATGCAGAGATGAATCATGGACTTAAACTCTAACACAACAATGATTTATCCATTTAAGATATGTCAGAGAACAATGATCATCTAAGAATATTTAAGCACCCCTCCAAATGCATGCTTGTGCGCGCGCGCGCACACACACACACACACACACACACACACAATTTCTTCTAAGCAGCTCTGTGAACAAACTCTCATTTAAGCCCCAGTTACTCCAAAACTACACATGAAAGCCCACAGCCAAGATGGCCACCATTTCTGCTGTGTCTCTCTAGGTGGTGTCTCGCTGCCTTGAACTTGGAGCAGCCTCTGCTCACTACATTGCTGGCACCATGGAAGACATGATGTTTGCAGAGCAATTTGTTCTCAAAGCAGGAAAGCTCATGGGTAAGGCTCCCCTCCCTTTTCCTCCTCTGGTCTTAGAGAGTTCGGGAGCAGGGAGGGAACAGGATTGCCTCCAAGTGGTCTCTCTCAAACCAGCCTTCTCTTTGCAGGTGGACTGGACATGCTCATTCTCAACCACATCACTTACACCCCTATGACTTTCTTCCACAATGATATCCACTCTTTGCGAAAAATCATGGAGGTCAACTTCATCAGCTACGTGGTCCTGAGCGTCGCTGCCTTGCCCATGCTGAAGCAGAGCAATGGCAGCATTGTCGTCATCTCCTCCGTAGCCGGTGAGTTGGCCAGGGGCCAGGGTGGAAGTCCAGGACAAAGTAATGCTGGGATTATGCTAGGCTCTGTGGTGGGCACAGGTTGGTGTCCATTTCCATGCAGGGAAGTCACACTGCATGAACTTGAAAGTTTACAGTAATATTATACACAGACAGATTCACTCATGAGGGACTTGGGGTATCAACGTAGGGACATATATATTGAAGAAAAGATACACTGAGGAACTAGTGGCCCCCAAAGTAAGGATCAGTCAAAGTAGGACTACAAAATCCTAGAAAGGAACAGACAAACGCAACAGTCCAGGATGCCCATGGGAAACTTGATGTGTGAGCCACACCTGGGAGAGGACAGGGACAGGAAGAGCTGCTGGGGCACTGCTAGTCTAGTCTCTTCATAAAAGAAACCTGGTCCTATTGGATAGAAAAGACTTTGCTTCCATCATAACCAAAAGCCACAGGGTGGTGAGGTCAGTGGGTAAAAAACAGGAGTAAGAATAGAACACCTTAAGGACACACAGTAAGATGGTTAGCTAGGGAAAATGAACTGAAGAATAATAGAGGAAGACTGCTCCAGACCATGGTTCTCAACCTTCCTAACGCTATGACCCTTTAATACAGTTCCTCGTGTTGTGGTGACCCCAACCATAAAAGTATTTCTTTGCTACACCATAACTGTAATTTTGCTACTGTTATGAATAGCAATGTAAATATCTGACATGCAGGATGTCTGATATGTGACCCCATGCTCCCAAAGTTGTGGTGACCCACAGGCTGAGAACTGCCGCTCTAGGGTTGGCACAGCACTTGGAGTTCTGTCAATCCCCTGGTGTCAATCCCCAGTACTGTGGGGAGGGGCAGGGATATCAATGTATACTGAGGATGTTTTCCTAACCTCAATTTGTAGCATTAAAAAATGAAATTTAGGCTGGGTGTGGTAACATATGCCTTTAATCCCACCATTTGTGAGGCAAAGACAGGTGGGTCTCTATGAACTCAAGGATAGCCTGGTCTACAAAACAAATTCCAGGCCACACTAGTCTATATAGTAAGAAAGATCCTGTCTCAAAAAAAAGGTGATATTTAAACAGGTAGGAAATATATGCAAAGAAACAATCTCATAGATATAGCTCTATGCCATGGAGGGGGTCCCCAATGTTTTGCATGGTGGCAGCATCCAACAACATCACTGAGAGTCTCCAGAGGTGATGATTCCTCCTGGATTTAGGGCAGAAGTCCTACACGTGTTTGCTGATTAGTAAAAGATGTGGTTGAAAGGTCAGAACAGAGATATAAACCAGCCTTATAAGTGTAGTTCTTAGGATAGAAGCCGAGTGGTAGTGCTGCAGGCCTTTAATCCCAGCACTCAGGAGGCAGAGCCAGGTGGATCTCAGTGAGTTTGAGGCCAGCCTGGTCTACAGAGTGAGATCCAGGAAAGGCACCAAAACTACACAGAGAAACCCTGTCTCAAAACAAAACAAGTGACCTAGGAGACCATGGACTGTTAAATACTTCAGAGATGCCAGTTCTCCTTGGGATGAATAAGGCCATCGATGTAGTAAAGCTCTCTCCTTTCTGGCCCAGGAAAGGCCTGCATGGTGACTGGATAAAGGGACAGTGTGTCTGTGCTACCCTGGAGCACGGTGATTGATATGCACCCCTGTGCTTCCAGCCAGCACAGACTCTGGCCCCTCCTCGCCCACAGACATGCTGGGCTGAAAGCAAAGGAGAGTTTCCAGATGCATACTGAGTGGGAGGGTGCTGGGCACATACCCAGTGAATCCTCTGCACTGGCCAGCCCCCCCCACACACACACACACACACTGGTTATGGTGTGGGTGGCTCTAACGATTCCTGATTCTGTTGATGAATGGAAATATGCGGTCCAAGCAAAAGCTTTTTCACCTTTGCCTAAAGAATTTAATTTATATAATATATATAATCCAGATGTGCTTGGAAGGAGCAAGGATTACTACAGACCCTAAGGGTCTGATGGAATTCTGAAAACTTATGTTTCTGTACATCATGGACATCTACAGAATGACACTTAGTAATTTCCATGGGGTCCGGGAGGTAGAAATAGAGTTGTGTATGTAACTCTTCCTGTGTCTGTCATTTGTGTAGCCTAGAGTTCAGCCTTCTTGCTTTAAAACATATCTCTGAATTTACAAATTAATTTTTCATCCTAAGAAGAGTATTATGTTCCATGGTGTATTGTTTTATATATGTTTCCATTTTGCACATGTGTGTAATGTTTAAGTACATGAACAAGTGTATGCATGCCAGAGGCTGACACTAGGCACCTTCTCTAATCACTCTGCACCTTCTTTTTGGAGGTGGGTCTCTCACCAGAACCTGGAGCTCACTGACTGGCTAGCTGGCCAGCAAGCCTTCCCCTCCACAGTATCAGGGTTACAAATGTATGCCCAGCTTTTTTTCCCCTTTAATGTAGTGTTGGGGGCCTGCACTCAGGGTCTCATGCTTGAGTGACAAGCATGAGAACTGATGGAACTGTCTCCCTAACCCTGGTGTCTTCTTTAAAGCAATCAGGAAGTATGTTCAGTAATCTTTACTTCTAAAAATCCGAATCTCACAAACATCTCACTAAATATCAAACTGATCCTGAGGTCAGAAAAAATACACTGAGTCAGAACTGTTCTCACTTCCACTGCCTTTGATGTTTTGCTGAGTTACAACGCAGAGCAATTGTCTTTTTCCTGATGCATTTCTGGGTATCATACTTCACAGAGGGCTTGTATTCTTTCTTCAAGCTTGGCTACCTCCTTAGTCCTCTGAGATGGTGCTGATGTTTGCACGCACAGCCCAGCACCTTTTCTGGCCCCACTGAACAAGTTCTTGTCTTTATCACATGCTGTTACATTATCAGTCTTCCCTCCTCCCACCATGGGCTCCTAGAACATAATTTCAGCTCCTATAACTAAGGCCCATATTTATCATGCCTTAAGCAAATCTAAATTCATTTTCTCCTGTGATTAGCCCAGGGTAAGAAGCCAAGGCTGATAGGATAGTCCCTACCCCATGAAGCTGTCCAAGAACCAACTGGGTCAAAACTACCAGGCCTGTGGTGTTACAATCATCAGCATGTCTAAGAAGGCTTGCTGTTATGTCTGAATTCTAGCTATAGAAAATGAAGGACACATTCTGAAACCTGTAACTGTCAACCACAGCAGGCTGCAGATGGGATTTGAATAATATTTAACTAAAAATCAGGGCTTCTCCTTCTACAAAAGAGCAGAAACATTGCTGAATCACTCCCTCCCACACCATCCATGCCAAGAAACACATAAGAGGAGAAGAAAACGATCCAAGCATGCCTGTAAATCCCAGCACTCAGGACACTGAGGCAAGAGGATTGACATGAGTTCCAGGCCATTCTGGGTTACAAACTGACACTTGGTCTCAAAAAAAGAAAGAAAGAAAGAAAGAAAGAAAGAAAGAAAGAAAGAAAGAAAGAAAGAAAGAAAGAAAGAAAGAAAGAAAGAAAAGAGAAAAGAAAAAAGAAAGGAAAGAAAGAAAGAAAGAAAGAAAGAAAGAAAGAAAGAAAGAAAGAAAGAAAGAAAGAAAGAAA